GGCAAACTTGAGAGTACGGTTACCTCGAAGATGGTTACCTTTATAGAGCCATAGTAACGTGTTGATATTGATCTATAGTGGAAGAATCTAGATGAATCGCCTTTGCGCTTGTTGCTCAGTGAGCTTTATAAAAATAGCCATTTCTCCTCAAGAAAGCAGAATAGCTCAACAAAATATATATTTTTCTGAATCTAGAGATTCTGCTGGATCGAACAGTGGGCAGAAATTCAATATGTTACTGGGCAAAACTGAGAGTACGATAGGCTCGGAGATGGAATGACGTATAGCATAGAGAAAATAGCTACATCTCCACATCTAGTCATAATTGCTCAGCTAAATATATGATATTCTGAAAGTGAAGATTCTGAGCAATTGAATGGTGCAAAGAGATCCATATGTCACCGGGCAAACCTGAGAGTACGGTTACCTTGAAGATGGCAACCTCAATAGAGACATAGTAACGTATTGATTGATCTATACCCTTTGATCAAAAAATGATCAATGACACGAAAATGCCACGGTCAATTCAGAACTCAAGCGCATACAATGATGAACTGGAATCTGAACAGAAACTGTTGCATGAGTAGATGGAGGTATACTCAGAGATTAGTCGTCTAATCAGATAGTTGATAAATGTTAATTTGACCTTTTTGATAGTGAGTCGATGCAGTCGCACTTCGTAGTTCATGTTGAAGGGCAACTCGTCGATTCTCTCGTGCAATGGCTTCACTGAAGGGACGGTAACTGTTAGATGTTTTGCAGATGGTGGCGACGATTGTTCAACCAATTCAGTGTGAAGTTGACGTAGTTCGTTCAACTCTTTGTTACGTCTCCGTATAAACATAAAGCCGAATATAAGTAATATGACCAGTAAGAATGCCATTAGTGCGGTGAGCAGTGGAGGTAGTAGATGGCTCATCAAATCTTTTGATTCCTGAAAGCGACTTGCTCTGCTCATTGGTGCAATAGTTGAATCGAAACGTTATTCCTTGATTAAACTTGCTGCCTGGATGTCGGGAAATTGTCTCAGATAAGTGTGAATTTCCAGTCTTTTACCGCTTTACAAAGAATGAATTACTGTTTGCTGACTATAACCTGCTTTTTCTTCTCAATTTTTGGATACTGATTGAATAATCTCATTCTGAGATGTGATTATCGAACAAGAGCGAAAAAGTGCAACGGCTGGATATTACCAACTTATTTCGGTCCAGAATTAGAGAGCTTTCGGCTTTGAGCTCACATTCAGTCTCGCAACATACCTTTAACTTTTCTGCCTGCTGTTCACAGTTACATTCAACCCTGGTTAAAAATAATTTTGAAGTATTGCAGCCCAAATGGAACGCTTTTCAATTAGAGAGGAAGTCGTTATTGACGGAACGTTCAGTACCTTTTTAATCGGCTCATCACTGGCCACTTCTCCCAGTCCACAAACGTCCTCAACTGATCTCTGAACACAAATCACTTTTCCGTTCTTCTTCCAAACCCGTAAACGATTAATAGCCGATTCGCATGGTTTCAGTGCATCAAGTCGCTTAATCTTCTCATGTTTGCTCGAATGATTCCATTTTTCTGTAGATTAAGTGCAATAACGTAATTGCCAAAGCAACATTTATTAGTGAATATTGGCGCTAGATGATCTTAATCCACATAATTTTTGCTCTCAACTACGGAGATCAACAGATAGTTACTCAATTCGGGGAGGACACGTACGCTTGAACATTTGAACATTTCGAAAGAACTATTTACCAGGAAGGATGGAGAGGATTTGAGAAAAACGATCGAAAAAAGGTGGAAAATAACATTGTTATGCTGAAATATCGAAATACGAGCGAGTTCTGAGATTTAGACCAACCATCCCATAGCAAAATATTCGATTAGCCATGAAGCAA